CAGTGATAAAAAAATCCAAAATAAGAAAAGCCTAGATTTTGGGATTCATCAGATGATTGCTAGCCACGTCAGCTAGCGTGATGTGCTTTTCATCAGGGGCCCACATGAGGCTTTTGCCGATATGGCGGTCCCTCATTGGCCGAACTCTCTAATAATAAGGAACATCAATTGGTGGGAGGGCTTTCAAAATTGTACTGACATTCTGGTGAATTAAAGTAACTTTTGTGGTTCCAACTTCCAAGCGTTTTATCTAAGTAATCCCATGTGATAAATGGTTTGGTTAATTTCCGTTGGGTTGGTAGGTCCAATAGTTTGACATTATTTATGATCATCGTTACATTTATGATCATATGTCTTAATCTAGGGTGGTGGTTGGTGCAACGATGTCCCATCTTGCCTTGAGAGAGCGAAAACTCGCCGTGGATCGACAAGTTTCATGAGCAAATGGGAAGTCTTTTCCGGCATCTTAAGCAACAATGCCTCCCTAAATCCAGGTATTTATGCATATATCTTACATGCATAATAAAAATAGCTGAACCTAGAATAATGTTTTTAAAGTACCAAAAAATGTTAGGGGTGGCAAATAAGAGCTTATTCAAACGAAAAATTACTACATATATGGTCTACATTCTTGATGTTATATATATTTTTTATTTAATTATTTTTATTTTATAATTTAATATTATTCAAATAGTAGAATAAGAAATTTTTATTTAAACTTATGTAGCTGGAGTCATTGGGTACCACTATACAGGATTTTGTTTGTCTGAAAAAGTGAAAAAGAGAGGGCAATAATTGACATTGATCATTTGACTGTTGTCTAGCTAGGACCAAGAATCCAGCCTGTGTAGCTGGTTAACCAAAAGAAAAATTTCGGTGATTTAGCAGACATGTTCAAGTTGTAGGCAGTAGAGGACAGCTAGCTAATTCTGATTTCTCGAACTTTTCTCCATTTTTATCATAATAATTGTATTGGGGTAATTGTAAACGACAACAGCAGCCTTTGTCGTCGGAATCCAACTCAATGCCCTCGAGTATCTTAGTTGTAGATTCTCGGGAAGTGCCATGGTTTTGTTAAGGTTTTTGATTTTATGCTCTTGCATTTTGTTCTAAACAACTTTGGATCCCTCAAGTGAAAAAGTTGGCAGGAAGACTGGGTTTGCAAGAGCTCAAATAAATACATTATGTGAAATTAAAAGACTAGTGTCACTAGCGGATTAATTTTGTGGTGCCCCTTTGGTGAAAAGTTGGTTTCTTGGCATAAGTTAAGACTAGTCAATAATAACCTTTCTTTGTTCATGGGAATAATCACCAAATTATTGGTCAACATTCAGATTTTTACAATTGGAACAGAGTGAAGTTGAGATATTGTGATGGAGCCTCATTTGGTGGAGATTCCAAGTTCGAAAATGGGGTAATTCTCTCTTTCTTGATATCTTTCTATTAGATTCCGATCCATGTAATGTTGCAAGTTCACAATTTAAGAAATTACCTATCTTTGGATTTCTTTCTTGAAGCTTTTGTAAGATTAGCATTGCAGATCCATAGAATAGGAATATGACAAATAATATCACCATTGAAAACTTTAACATGCGGAGAAAGTTTTATCTATAAAGAACTTGTTGTGTATTTACATCTTTATTATAAATTTATAATAGTGGAGAAAAGGCCTTAAATTGATCTCTTACATACTTGTGTGTGATGAGTAGACATCACTAATTTATTTCAGAGGGCAAAGAATTTGGGATGCAATTATTCGTGATCTTCTTCCTAAAGGATTGGGAACTGCACGCAAGGTAAGCTCATGGATGATTTTTCCTCTCATGCTATAGTTTTGGTTTCAAGTTGAGTAATACTTCTTTAGATTACTTATTCCTTTCTTCCCTAGGCTTTGCTTTCAGGTTGCTCTGCAGGGGGTCTAGCAACCTTTTTGCAATGTGACAACTTCAGAAACATGTTACCAGCAGATGCTAGTGTAAAATGTCTCAGTGATGCTGGATTTTTTCTGGACATGTAAGTCTGTATTCATGCACTCTTATTAGAGCCATTGAGAAAACATTAGACTTTGATTAGCTCCGTTCTAAAGTAGCAATCTCCTTACAATCCATTTCCACATTAGATTTAAAGCTGGTTCTGTATTTGTATTGCCAAGAGGGAAGAACTAATTTTACTAATATTGGCATCCACTATGCTTAAATTTTTGTTCTTGGGGGGAAATCTTTGTCTGTCATAAGATGTTAAAACATTTGCTTCTTGTTTTGCAGAAGAGATATAAGTTTGAACTACACTATGAGGTCCTTTTTTGAGGGTTTAGTTTCTTTACAGGTGACCTTACTATTATGATACATCTCTTTTGAAATACAATGCATGAAACCATATTTTATTAGTAAAATTGACAGTCAAGAAATGTAAATCACAGGGGATAGAACCAAATCTCAATCAGAACTGCACCCATTCATTTGCCTTTCCAAAGCTGGTACAATATCTGTGATACTCTTGTGTTGTTGAATAATCAAAGCATGACTCCCTTTCATATATAGCTATACACTGTTTTGGCATTCACCTTGTTTTCATGCAGTGTTTCTTCCCACAGAATGCATTAAAATATATCACAACACCATATTTCATCTTGAACTCGGCTTATGATGTATTCCAGGTATTTCTCCTCTGCTCCAATTACTCTTAAATCTCATTTTCCTTACTTTTGAATTTTGCATCATTATATGACAATGATTTAATTTCCCCTTCGACAGTTCCATCATGGTTTAGTTCCGCCTTCTGCTGATTTACATGGACATTGGAATCGCTGCAAGCTTGATCCAGCAGCATGCGACGCAACTCAGACTAGTATATTGCAAGGTTTTTCACTTTGTCCATACTTATGTAATCAATTGTTATCAAATTTTCTAATTTTTCCCTTGAGATTTGTGAAGGATGTTGCAGATGGAGACCTAAGAACTGTGAAATTTTTATATAATGAGCTTACTGAACCTTCCTTCCCCAGGTTTGAGGCGCAACATGCTTACTGCTTTATATTCGTTCAACCGACATTCATTAAGCGGAGGGATATTCATAAATTCATGCTTTGCTCATTGCCAAAGTGAGTCACAAGATACATGGTTCGCTGATGATTCCCCTAGAATAAACGATAAGGTATGCCCCCCTTTATTTTGTGTCCTATGTTACTTCAGTAACATTATCTGTCTATTTTCACTTACATGGGAGTTCCAAAACCAGTAAACTTGTTAACAAATCATGGTTTGGTATCAATTATCATTCAAGCATATATCATAAGCTGCATATTCATTCTTATGTGAGAGTCCCAAATCTTGGGAAGTATAAAGTTTGCAGTATGATTAATGCCTTTAATCATCCATGACAGACCATTGCAGAAGCAGTTGGAGATTGGTACTTCAGCAGAAGAGTGACCAAAGAGATTGATTGTGAATATCCTTGTGACAAAACTTGCCATAACCTCCTACCGGCATCGCCGACGCCGCCCCCGCCGCCGCCGCCGCCGCCTCCTGAGGTAATGTGTTCATATGATAAGCAGTCTCAGATCAAGATATTGTTCTTGTTTTAAATGAATTGTAAATCTTGCAGGTTCCTCAGGTAATTCCTTAATTTTGCTGAAGCAAAGAGGAGTACTTTGTTTTACGAGTTCTCTTATTGTTTCAAGGCAAAATACTTGGTTGGTACTTGGTAGCTTTTGAAAGGAAGCACAGGTTAACGATTCTTTAGAAATTTTAGCAATTCAATTCAATTGCATAGCATTCAGAGAAAATCATATATGATTTTGTAACTTTCATTAAAAGAATTAATAAAAATTCCATTTATTTGCTTCCTTCTCAACCAAATACATTTGTAAACAAATAACTTTGCAGGGAGTTAAAATGAAGAGGGGCAAAAGGAATATAAAAATCCAAAATTAATTTAGTTTTGAACTTAAACATTTATACCAAATGATTCTTTTATTTTTTATTAATATATATCTACTGTATTTTGCTGGTGGAGGCTTCTGGTGTAGTCAAGACGTTGAGACCCCACAAATTTGAAGTTGCGATTTTGGGTTATGCTTTATATGGCTTTATGTTAATATTTTCTCATTATTGTAACTTGTTCTTGTAATTTGATTGAAGTATTGTATTGTATTGTACTATACATCGTATTCAGTAATTGTAATATATATGTGGTGTGTATTTCATATAGAAAATTTATTTGTAATATTTTTATTCATATCAAAATTAGATGTCTTTTGCATAAATTTAAGGGATATGAGTTTGTAATATGAATGATGGTCATAAGTTCAAGTCTCTATGCATTAGCAACTCAGGTCGATCGGTAATATGTAGCAAAAATCTGGATTTATATTAAGATTTAAGTTATTTTAAAAATAATTATAATATTTTTTCATTCTCTCAAAAATTTTCTTTGTTCATAAAAAAAAAAGTTTAAATCTTTATAATGCTAACGGTAAACCACATTTACACAATAAAAAATTATTTCATATAAATATAAATCAAAATAAATAGTAGAAACTTACATTTCCTAAAAAAAAGAAAAAAAGGAAACTTATCTTTTTATACGGAATAAGAAAATCAAAAAATGTTCATAATCTATATTGATAAAAAATTAAGTTAAAAAACCTTAAAAATTAAGTTGTTTTAATTAATTTTATTGAAAAATATTAAAATGTATTAATTTTGTAATAAAACATAAGATTATTTAATTTTTTTTGGATATAAAATAGTTTTAAGTATTATTTTATCTAATTTTTTTCTTTTGAACATATTTTGCAAGGGACGGATTTCAAACTCTGCCTGAAAAAGGATACACCGGTAATTAATGTCATTGGGCCTCAAGGGCCAGGTGCTATCTAACTTTATTTGAGTTTAACTAATCAATAGTAAAAGAAAAATTAAAATTAGCATATTCTATCAAGATTCTATATAAAATTACTTAAATATTTTTAATTCATTTTTTATATATTAAATCGTTAAAAATATTTAAATATTATCATAAAAAATTTTAATTGTTTAAATATCTTAATTTTTTGTAATCCCATTAAATATTATTTATACTCTATAAAAATAGAAACTCTTTAACTTTTTCAAAAGAGAAAAACGGAAAGGGGAGACAATAATTGATTAATTTTCATTCTTGTCCCAGGTAGGCTTCTTGCCACGTGCACTAAGGAGACGTCACTACATTCTCTTCTTTTTTCGGCCCAATGTCATTATTTTCTCACAAAAGGACAAAACCGATAATTTAACCCCAAACGTGAACCACGCCACCCAAAGGCCCAGCGCCACGCTACAGTAAGTCTTTAATCTCGCCACCAGGTTGGGGCCTTGAACCCCCTCCAGCTGTCCTCCGCCACCACTATCCACCTCCGAAATCCCCAAAACACCCCTCTTCTAAATGCAAAGCCAGATATTTAGAAGCCTCCACTGGGCCAGAATCTCGTCCCCATTCTCCCCTTTGTTACCACGCCACAGTCTCCCTAGTCAACTCGATTTCCGGCATAAAAAGCTTAGAAGGAATAATTCCAGGACAAGAGAGTGGAACCGTAGGAGTGGAAGCAGTGGGGGTAGATCTAGGGCGATGCCGTCTTCTTCAATAGACACAGGGAGCAGCGCTTACGGTGGTGGCGACGAAGGTGACGGGAAGAGTCGTCTTCGCAATTTCAAGCTAAACGAGTCGACGTTCTTGGCCTCTCTAATGCCGAAGAAGGAGATTGGTGCGGACCGCTTCATTGAAGCTCATCCGGAGTACGACGGCCGTGGCGTCATCATTGCAATCTTTGGTATTTCATTTGATGAAATCTTTAATTCTCATGTCATTAAGCAAGGAAATGAGAGGAATATGCTTATGTTTGAGTTAGTCGTAGATTTTTTGTGTAGTGATTGAGTTTTTTATTTTGTTTGTATTGAGTAATCCTCCAGCAGAAGTACTGGTATATGCTTTGCATTTATGAAAACTGTCTGTTTTCAGATTCTGGTGTAGATCCTGCTGCTGCTGGATTGCAAGTTACCTCAGACGGGCAGCCAAAAATCCTGGATGTCATTGATTGGTACTGATCTGTTGAAGTGTGGAATTACTAGAATTTGTATCTCCTATTATTTATTTTTTTCTTATGTATTTGGAACTTGTTTGTTTTACAGCACTGGAAGTGGAGATGTTGACACCTCAAAAGTGGTGAAGGCTGATGGAGATGGGTGTATTCGTGGAGCTTCAGGTTGATATTTTTAAATCTTGATTAATCCATAAGCATAAATCTGCAAGTTGATGTCCCTTTTCAAATATACTTGGATTGCTTGCTGGTAGATAATAGTGGTACCGTGTATATATGATATTCATAATTCACATGCATTCACAAAAGATTCTCTAAATTGACTTGTTAGTCTTCTTCTGTTAGCTGCCAATCCAGAAATTAAAGGGTTCATTACCCATACATGGTGGTACTGATGTGAACTAATAATTGAAATGGTTCCTTTTTAATTTTGGTTTCCCTTCATCTTTTGTTTCAAAAATAAGAAAATTAGAGAAAGCTTGTTAGAAAAAATAATCTCCTTAAGTTTATTATAAAAATAATATCATTTTCTGTATTGTTGTTGAATATAACGTTTTGACTTGAGTTATGCTGTGCAAGCCTTGTCGAATGATTGACCCAGCCCAGGCAAATATGGATGAAGATGACCAATTTCATCTGCAACCATAGATGAAATTCCTTTTTGATGTGGCAAAAAGATTTAGCTCTCTTCTGGTTATTTAAAATGTTATCCCACTGCAAGGCCTCTTCTGATTTAATACATTCATCATCTTCATACATGTAGCGACACTGAAACATCCCTTGTATTTCACAGAGAAAGTACATGCTTCCTATATATATGTGTATATATTATATATATGTATGTATTTATGTATGTATGTATGTATATATTCCTTTTCTAGATAATGTTTCTAAGTTTATTCTTCTTTATCTGCATATTAGAGCATCATTTATTTTCATTTCAAGTGAACATTTTCCCACAAAAAATTATATTCTGAGTTATAAGAAAACCTTCAAATAGGGGCATCTCTGGTCATCAATTCTTCATGGAAAAACCCAACTGGTGAGTGGCATGTTGGCTGTAAATTGGTGTATGAACTGTTTACAGACACACTGACTTCTCGAATAAAGGTAAGTAACTAATATCTTTGAGCTTTTAATATTATGATTTGCTAAACCTGTTGATGAATTGAAATTTTCATTTTTATCCTTTGTTCCTTTCTCTACAGAAAGAAAGAAAGAAAAGATGGGATGAAAAAATTCAAGAGGAGATTGCTAAAGCTACAAAGCATATTGATGAATTTGACCAGGTTAGTGCAAATGCTGTTTATTAACTCCATTTTACATATGCCCATCTCCACATGTGAGTAAATTTTATTATATTTACTCCAGTTTGTTTTAAAGTTACAATAAGCATGATGTGATTTGTCACAAATTTTCCAATTTTAAAATACATACATTTGCCTTCCTGATGTGAGCTAGGAATTCTCTTTTCTTGTAGGTTATCATTTTCATGTTTTCCCTTGTTCAATAACAGCATCATTTCTCTACTACGTTTGTGCTTTCTTAATATTTATGGAGATCTTTTTAACAAAATATTTACATGCAAGGAGACATATTATTTGATCACAACACATCTGGCAGTTTCTGATGCATAAACAACTACTTCAGTTACTTCATTGTGTCAATTTATGTAAAAAGAAGAAAAAAATTTCAGTATTAATCCATTTTCCATTTTATTATTTTCTTTTCTCATGGGGTGAAAGGTGGCATCTGTTATGATTTCCTCTCTTCATGTATTTATCTATTAATTGTGACTATGCTTCATAATACAATCATTTATTTTGCAATGATAAATTAATGAAAAAGTCACATGCCTTAGGTAAGTCATGTGTTACTGATAGAATTTTCCAAGCTGACATTTATTCACCCTATTCATTCAAATAACTTCTTATGATATCATTTATATAGAAACATGCCAAAGTGGAGGATCCTAAATTGAAACGAATACGTGAAGATCTCCAGAATAGATTTGACATCTTAAAAAAGCAGGCTGATGTGAGTGCCAATTGCCAAAGATTTTAAATTGCGTTTTCTTCCATTTTTTGTTCATACCTCAGTACCTTAATTCTCATCTCCATGTTTTAGAACTATGATGATAAAGGACCTGTAATAGATGCTGTTGTGTGGCATGATGGAGAAGTATGGAGGGTTGCTCTTGACACACAGAGTCTTGAGGATGAACCTGGTTGTGGGAAGCTGGCTGACTTTGCGCCCCTAACTAATTATAGGTTTGAATGTTTGCTAACAATTTTGTTCTGTGTTTGATAGATGAATCTATATTTTTGCTGTCAAAAAAAGAAAAAGATGAATCAATATTTTAAGAATCTGTATTTTTCAGCAAATGTATCATGCAATATAATCCTATTTTGTGGCATTGTCTGTATTGTGTTGTTAAGTTCAAAATTATATAATTTGCTGTTTGGTTTCTGTTTTCAATCATGGGATTTTAAGAAGTATGGAATGTTATGGAACAAAAAATATTATCATTAGCTAACTCTGTTGGAACTATTCTTGCAGGATTGAAAGGAAGTATGGTGTTTTTAGCAAACTGGATGCCTGTACAGTTGTTGTTAATGTGTATGATGAGGGAAATATCTTAAGTATGGTAACAGATAGCTCACCTCATGGTACTCATGTTGCTGGCATTGCTACTGCTTTTTACCCAAAGGTGCTGCTATTTGAGCTAAAGCAGTCAATTTTGCTGCATTATTGTTCATAATTTAAATTAACTTATCTTCTGACATTTTTTGTTTTTGTTGTTGACAGGAGCCTTTGTTAAATGGAATTGCACCTGGTGCACAGCTAATTTCATGTAAAATTGGGGATTCACGCTTAGGTTCAATGGAGACAGGAACTGGCTTGACACGGGCATTGATAGCAGCCGTGGAAGTGGGTGAAAGCACATAATCTATTTACTTGCTTATTGTTTATGGATTCTTTAAATCCTTGTTTACTGTTTTTAGTCTTTAATATATCCACATTGTTTTCATGTGTATGGACAAAGCAATTACGTCCTTAATGTATTTATGCATTAGATACACAGGTAGCCATGACCTCTTGCTTATAAATGCAAATGGATGAGTTCTATGATTCTCAGGTTTGATATGCTACATTTCCTTGACATTCATATTACCTTCTGTTGTGTGGCTTGTGCCCTTATGCAGCATAAATGTGATTTAATCAATATGAGCTATGGAGAGCCCGCATTGCTACCAGATTATGGGCGATTTGTTGACCTTGTTAATGAGGTAGCGACCAAAACTTATGTGGTACTGATGTCCATTGTTTAACCCTCTTTTTTCGCTTGATCTCTAATAAACATGCCCAACCTTCGTTTTACATTTAGGTGGTTAATAAGCACCGTTTGGTATTTGTGAGTAGTGCTGGTAATAGTGGGCCAGCATTGAGTACTGTAGGAGCTCCTGGTGGTACCTCTTCAAGCATCATAGGTGTTGGTGCATATGTCTCTCCCGCAATGGCTGCTGGTGCTCATTCTGTAGTTGAACCTCCATGTGAAGGGCTGGAGTACACTTGGTAAAGCAAACTTCCCTTGACCTTTAGTTTGGCTCCCAAACAAGAAATCCAAGACTATTATTTAAAATTGGTTGAAACTGATCCAGGTCGAGTCGAGGGCCAACAGTTGACGGAGATGTTGGAGTCAGTATAAGTGCTCCTGGTGGGGCTGTTGCCCCTGTTCCTACTTGGACTCTTCAAAGACGCATGCTCATGAATGGAACATCAATGGCATCTCCTTCTGCTTGTGGAGGAATTGCATTACTTATTAGTGCAATGAAGGTTTTTTCTATGACTTATTTGAGTTTCTTGTTCTTTTTTGCCCCTGATCGTTTTTGGCTATATTTTGTTAAGTTTCTTGTATCTTATGGTGGCTGCAGGCTGAGGGAATTCCTGTGAGCCCATACAGCATAAGGAAGGGCATTGAGAATACATCTGTTCCTGTAGGTAGTCTTCCTGAGGATAAGCTAACGACTGGAGAAGGTCTCCTGCAAGTTGATAAGTTGGTTCTCTGCTCTTAGCTTTTGGTACTGAAACTTATGATTTTGAACTTCGTCTTGACCCTTTTTGTCTGACAGGGCATATGAATATATACAGCAATCCCGGGATTTTCCCTGTGTTTGGCATCAAATAAAGATCAATCAATCTGGAAAAACTTGTAAGTTCACATCTGTGATGGAAAACAAATATGAATGTGTCATGTGCTTTGCAATTGCTGGACTTTTTGTTTAGAAAGTTGTTAAATGTTCATTATGTACTTATGAAAAAACCAGGAGTTGCATACAGAAGAAGTTTCAGAGGCAGTGAATTATAATTTAAATCTATGAAGGGCCAAGAGGAACTTACATTATACTGACTTAGCCTTCTATGGGATTCCCGTTACTTATTCGGACTTGATTTTTCCTTACTTTCATTAGATGACTTAACCTTGTTGTACCTTCTTAAGTTTTATACGAAGTTTCAGCTGAAATGTACACAATTGCTGGGACAGCTTTGTAACATTGTCACTTAAATTTTATTTAGTTTTACCTATAAAAGTGTCTCATAGCTTATGATCTGTTGTAAATGCAGCTCCTATATCACGTGGTGTCTACCTAAGAGAGGCTACTGCTTGCCAACAGTCTACTGAGGTGGGACTGCTGATGGACTTTGTGAATTGTAATTGCTTGAATATGTTTTCATTTTTCTAATATTCTTGGTCTTTAACACCTCAACCGAGTTAACAGTCCACTTTGAGATGTACTTTGATGCTAAGATTTTTCTTACATCCTTCTTTTCTTTCTTGTTTCCATTTTAGAATTTTGAAACCTCACAGTTAGTTATAATGGCTAGAATTACTGCTGCTATGTTTCCTTGTGTGTTATGTGGGAAAAAGGAATAAACTCCTATCGCTCATAGTTTTATTCCTTGAATTTTCTAGTTTTGCAAAATTATCTGTCTCAGAATGTCATTCAGTTCTTCAAATCTAATAAAGATGCTTTAATGAATTTGATGATACTGTCCATCTCTTACATGAAACATCCCTAGTGTGACTACTGATTAGTGTTTTTGGTTGTCTTGTAAGATTTATTTCCAGTTATTTGGGAACTTGTCTAAAGCATTTCTTTATTTCACCTTCCTTTCTCTTAATGCTTGAGAGTGTTTTATGCATTTATTGATTATAATTTGAGATCATGAGTTAACTTTACTGAGTAGGAGGCTTGCTACCATGCCTCCCCTCCCAACTACCTCTCTTTACATGACAAGATTACTTGAAATCTTCATACGTTTTGTTGCATGCAATGCTAAAAGGGTCTCTTTGACACTTGCAAACTTTTTCTCCTTTAATTTCATATTTTCCCTTTGTCCTGCGCTTAGCAGCTAAGATAATATATTTTTTAACAGTGGACAGTTCAAGTTGAACCTAAGTTTCATGAAGATGCGAGTAACTTAGAAGAACTGGTTCCCTTTGAGGAGTGTATTGAATTACATTCTAGTGATAGCACAATTGTGAGAGCTCCTGAGTACCTTCTCCTTACTCATAATGGACGTTCATTCAAGTTAGTAAAACCTCAATTTGTTCTTTTCCTTCAAGATTAATCGATTTTCCTTCTCTTCAACTTAATATTGTATATTGTTATAACGTTATTTTGCATGGTTGTTATTTGAATAAAAAGATGATTCCTCCCCCTTCTCTTTTCAGCATAGTTGTTGATCCTTCCAATCTTAGTGACGGTCTGCACTATTATGAAGTCTACGGAATTGATTGCAAAGCACCATGGCGTGGTCCTCTTTTCAGAATCCCAGTTACAATAACAAAGCCAACAGCTGTAAAGAATCGACCACCCTTAGTTTCATTCTCGAGGATGTCATTTCTGCCAGGTTTCTTGCAGTTTTATATCAATATCTTGTCTATCTTTTTTGTACAGTCATTTTTTTGGGTCAAGTACATAAAATATCTTTGTACCATGATATTTGTACAGATTCATTTCTGCTTGGATTCTTGCAGTTTTTTTGTCAATATCTTATCTATCATTTCATACAAAAAAAAAAAAATCTTTGTTTTTAGCCAATTACATAAAAAAATCTCTCTACCATGATGTTTGTACAGATTAATTTATCTTTGCTGTTTATGGTTGTACTACTTTGAAGGCCACATAGAACGAAGGTATATCGAAGTTCCACTTGGTGCAAGTTGGGTTGAGGCAACTATGCAGACATCAGGGTTTGATACTACTAGACGATTTTTTGTTGACACTGTGCAGGTACAGCATACGATAAGAACCTATTCTATGTTAGCTAAGACCTTGTTTGACATTCTTTCCATATGCAGATTTGTCCCCTACAAAGGCCTATGAAGTGGGAGAGTGTTGTAACATTTTCCTCTCCGACGGCCAAAAGCTTTGCCTTTCCTGTGGTAGCTGGCCATACAATGGAACTAGCTATAGCCCAGTTTTGGTCAAGTGGCATGGGAAGTCATGAGACAACTATTGTAGATTTTGAGGTAGAAATTTCTGTCAATGACCTTGAAAACTTCTGTTAATTGTTGAATTATAACTATCTTAGATACAGAATCTGCAATTAGGTTTTCCTTTCATCATTGCTTTTGTCTGATTATTGTGTGATCCTTCTAGATTTAATGGCTGCTCTTATACTTTACTCGCTCATGGTTATGTCTTCTCTGTTCCTGTTGAACATTTTTACTTTTTCTTGAGTTTCCATCTTTATGATTTATTTTTCTTGTCAAATTTCCTTTTTCTTCTTTCTTATACTCTTGTCCTATACAAACCCCCCATGGGAGATTCCATTGTTAATAAGGTTTCTTTAATTCTATTATTGAAAGAGATGAACTTGCTGAGTAGTCATTTCAAATTTACTGTTACCTGGTCCTTTTTTAAATTAGTTAATGGACATGATATAGCCTGTTATATTTAGACTGAGGTCCTGGGAGTAAATTAGAAATATCTTACCCTTAACCATATCGCTAAAGTGGGTGTTCAAAAAGACTTGTATTCTCTTAACTTGTTGACTTAACACACTTTCCATTAAACTAGAATGGCTCAGGTAGTCCTCTTTTGGAGTTAATCAGATTTTTGTATCATGATTTCTTGCATAACCTCACATTTTAATTTATATGAACTTTTTAGATTGTCTTTCATGGAATTGGTATCAACAAAGAAGAAGTCATACTTGATGGAAGTGAAGCACCCATCAGAATTGATGCTGAAGCACTCTTGGCATCTGAGAAACTTGCTCCTGCTGCTGTCTTAAATAAGGTAAAGACAGTTCTCCTATGCATATAATGTGGGTCACATAAGCTCTGTCTCTGCCCTCACACACTTGGAGTTCATCTTTGCCAATCTGTCTGTTCAATTTGCAGATCAGAGTTCCTTATCGACCTTCTGAGGCCAAACTTTGCACCCTTCCTTCCAACCGTGACAAATTACCCTCTGGGAAACAGATACTAGCATTGACACTAACGTGAGTTCTAGTGTTAGTTTTGCTACTTTCTCTGGATGCAACTCTGTCATTCTATCTGTAAATATATTTCATTATCAACTTTTTGCTTCTGCAGTTACAAGTTCAAATTGGAAGATGGAGCAGAAGTTAAACCTTATATTCCATTGCTTAACAATCGTATATATGATACCAAATTTGAGTCTCAATTTTATATGATTTCTGACACAAACAAGGTACATATTTTGTTCCTATCATTGTAAACAATACACTGTTTTTGAAATTTTTAGAATTTGGGGGAGAAAATTTCCCATTTTGGTTAGTTAGATCTAGGCTGAGATAACCTTTAGTTATTTCATTTTATATAGAGATCTATATTTCACTCTTGCAATTCCTTGGCCTCTTGAACTGCATTCTTCCATTCCCAAAGAGTAGCATTTGCTTTCTCTCCTTTGCAATTGTAATGTTGACCTGACAATGATTCATTTGCTTCTTCAATTATAGCGTGTGTATGCCATGGGTGATGTTTATCCAAATTCTTCAAAACTTCCAAAGGGTGATTACACTCTGCAGTTGTATCTAAGGTAAACTTGCTATTGTGCCCTTCTAAACTTTCTATGCATTGGAGACTTTGGTATTTTATATTTTGATTAGATTCACCCCCCACCCCTCCCCAACCCACCCATTCAAGGAAAATGCTTGTCTATTAAAATATATTCTGGGAAGTTGTATTTTAACCTTCTTTTCTGTTCACTTATGGTGGCTTATTATGTCTCAGGCATGACAATGTGCAATATTTGGAAAAGATGAAGCAGTTAGTGTTGTTTATAGAAAGGAATTTAGAGGAAAAGGTGCATAGAACATTGTTCTGAAAATTATATATATATATATATATATTCTAAATGGCTGCCATTACCAAAGTTCTTTGTAGCCATAGCTCTGAAAACTGATTTTAGTTTGTATTTTTGTAAGTTTATATGCCACACATTTTTTAAATAATACTGCTGTACATTTTGGGTGGACCTTTATGGACTCATACTTTGTGGTTGTTCTGATACCAGGATGCTATTCGATTAAACTTTTTCACTGAACCTGATGGCCCTGTGATGGGAAATGGTGCCTTCAAATCCTCTAATCTAATTCCAGGGTATAACCCGTCCCTGAAGGGTTTGTCTCTTTTATTTATTTTTTTTCTCCATAATAATCATGTTAACTTCTAGCTTTTTTCACTAGACAAAAAGAAGCATTTTATGTGAATCCACCTACCAAAGATAAGCCACCAAAGGTATTAATCTCCCTTGTTGTCTTGTTTTAGTTTCCTTTATCAGTAGCATCTTTTATTTTTTTTTTTTTTATTTTCATTTTTTATAATATATATTCTTACCTGGTTTCTACAGATTTCTGCACAAGGAGCCATGTTGGTGGGGGCAATATCATATGGAATGCTTTCAAATGCTGGTCAGGATGAAGGAAAAAATCCACAAAAGAATCCTGTATCTTATCCAATCTCCTATGTAATACCATCAAATAAGGTTGTCATTTATTATGCATTTTTGTTATAAATAACTAATATAATTTATTTAATTTCATCTTCTCTCTGTGGATATTTCTTTGCACAAATGATGCACTGCTAAGTAATCATTAATTGTGTGTCTGCGATTGGCAGCTTGATGAGGACAAGGGTAAAGGTTCTTCTCCATCTGGCACTAAAACTGTGGCTGAACGTTTGGAAGAAGAGGTACTTCAGCACAATCAAAGAAAACACTAACATATTTCCTCAAGTTTATCTACTTTTTAACATTCTTTATAATTTATATTTTATTCTGGCATTCTGTTAACATAGAATTTAGTGCCAGTGGATTAAGCGCATTTATGTTGTGACTTTCATGTCTGAGTTTTTAAACTCCAAGTTTGTGGAATTTTAATTTAGCAGGCAATATTAAAGTGAGGAAATTTTGACTTTTTCCCCCCTTCTTGGTGGGTTTTTGACAAGGAGTGTCGGTCACTCCCTGCAAGTTATTAAATGTTACTTGTTCCTTTATGCTAGAGTGCGGAAGTGGTAACTGTTTTCTCCATGAGCATTTGTTTTGAATGACCTGGCACTGCCATAGAACCTTACTAATTAAGGTTAATTAATTCTAGAGGATGGAGATATGTATTTTATAACTTTTGGTTCTGATTGCATTCCATTTCTATGGGACCATGGTTGTCCTTAACAAGTTTTTGCTTTGTATCTGAAGCTACCTGTTTCTTATATATGGATTATTGCTGTTTCCACTTGTAAATCAGGTTCGAGATACAAAAATAAGGGTTTTAGGAAGCCTGAGGCAAGACACTGATGAAGATCGTTCAGAATGGAAAAAGTTAGCTTTTTCCCTAAAGGTCAGAAGCTCCCTCTCTCCCACCTGTTTCACCTCTCCCGTGTTATTGGATGGGTTTGGTTTTGGGAACTTGGTCTTACAAGGTAACCTAGTGATTATCACAATAGAAGTATAATACAGATGAGCTGGGAATCTGTTGAACTTTTTTCCCCCAAGATCTAGGCTTGCAAAACCATAAATATGAAACAAATAATGTAAAATAATAACAATTTGAAACTATCTTGTAAGAATGAGTGGGACACACTTAGTTCTGAAAATTCTTTAGAGAGGCATCAAACTTTTATTGGTTGATCATAGTCATCTGAAACTACTTCTGTTTTGCTTGTGTTGGTACTTTGCATTATTAATGTGAATTATTTCCTGTGGCAGTCTGAATACCCAAAACACACTGCATTGCTTGCAAAGATCTTGGAAGGTTTGCTTTCTCAGGGAGATGGTGGGGATAAAATTCAGCATAATGAAGAGGTAAGTTCCATGAGAAGCAGACGGATAGTGTGGAAATTCTTCTGTGGCTCTCTACTTATTAATTGATGAAATCTATTTTGTAGAAGAAGCATTTTTAACCTTTTTGTGTTTCACTGCCATATGAAGACTCTTCCCTTCACCACCATATTCTTGCGCTCTTTCCTGAGCTTGGATGAAGAAAACATAGAGAAAGGAATTTCAAATTCACCTCTCTTGAATGACATTTCGTGTCAAAAATGGTTTGATTGTAATACAAAAGCTTGTGAAAATACCACTTGGTTTTTTGAAATTGCTCCTTCAAATCCTCATTTTCCTTCAACTGAATCATAATCTCTCTTCTTGACAAAAAATGGAATTTGAAATTCCCTTCCTCCCTTTTTCTTATGAACTCTGTCATTGAAATCCTTCATCTAAGCACAAACCTTAAGGTGCAATGATATGCTTGCAGATCTTAGTGGTGTTAAGACATGCCTTTTGCTTGATTCCATAAAGTCCTGGCTGGCTCTCTCTTGACTGAAAGTAAATATGACGTTAGAGCTTGGTCAATATAAAAGATTGGATCCTTGCTTGGACTCATTTGATGTTAAAAACTATTGAAGTTCACATACTTAGAAAACAAGCTGCTGGAAATTGCTTAACTTCTACATAGAGCATTGTATAAAAGATAAAAAGCAACTGGAATATAGAAGAGTCAGGTTCACCAGTTCAACCAAAGGCATCCAAAAGTAGAAAACTGATCTGAAATATCTCTTTGCTGAACTAATAATATAGTTCAACTTTGCAGGTTATAAATGCAGCGAATGAGGTCATTCAAAGTATTGACACGGATGAATTGGCAAAGTTCTTTTCACTTAGAAGTGATCCAGAAGACGAGGAGGCAGAGGTGTGTGCATTTGTTGCAAATACTCCTTGCCCCACTGTTTATACTTATATACACAAGTTTGCCACTGCTGACCTCCTTGTATTTTTTGTTTTCTGCATCAGAAAACTAAGAAGAAAATGGAAACAACTCGTGATCAATTGGCTGAGGCACTTTACCAGAAGGGACTAGCACTGGCCGAGATTGAATCTTTAAAGGTAGTGGCAGTCACACTGACATGCGTAAACTGTTATGTTTCCGTAGTGACTTCTCTGGATCATATGATATGGTTATCATTGTCTGCAAAGTGTAGAAGTCAAAAGGTTTGCTTCAATTTATCGTGTGTGTCCTACTTATGGAAATCAAGTAACTAGAGATTTCTGGCATGTCGTTAGTTTCAGGATCCTCATATAGAACACATGCACATGCTTTAAGCTTCTATCCCACAATATAAGATAAAACTGGTTTCCTTATAACAAATGAGATATAGTGAGTAGTTAAAGGCAATAATTTGTGGATGCTATTAATGTATGATTTCATTTTGCTATGAATATATTCTGAATCAATTTGTATATGATAATCTAATGCTTAACTTGTTCTTATGTTTTACATTT